AAACGATGAGAGAAATTCCTCCCAGACTCTAGAAGATGCTTCAGAATGAGCTTCTTGATGAGGCTTTACAAAAAGAAGGATCGATGGCCAGGGCTTAGTGCCATGTAAATTGACACAAGACAAGCTAGCCGACAGCCATGATCAATCAAAGACGAATAAAGAGAAAAAGAAAATACAGCATGTGTCCCGGAAAGAACTTCTGGGGCTTAATGGAAATTAGGAATTAACCTGATAACTAGGGGACAGTTCACTGATAAGATCAGAAAAGAAAATTTCAGAGGGGAAAAAACCTTATCTTTGGAAAAACACAATAAATCATGGATAAAAAGCATTAAAAAATCCTATAAGTACTGTGGCACTAAAATTTTAATTAGAAAATTGGTAGAGCAGTATGCTGGCCAAAAAAAAATCAATTAGTGATTAATTAAACAAAAATTATAACTTAATCTAAACTTAATTTCTAATTAAAATTTGGGAGAAAAATGCCCACAAATACTTCAAGCTAATTTTAGCCTCCTGTCTGCCAGAGAGCATGCACTGGGCTTTAAAATACACAAATTCTGCTTGCAGCCAACTTATCATGTAGATATGAATTTAAGAAAATAATACTTTAATGCGTGCAGATGCCTGGATAGTTTTTTGTCTCTAAGCCCTCCCTGAAGCTTGCATTACTAGCTGATGAATATGTCAAGGAAATGTCAGAGAAACTGTGGTGAAGGCTCAGTGAGGTATGTGAATAATCAGAGTCTCCTGGAGCCCCACTCAGCCTCCCTCTCCTAAATCTGCTAATACCTCTTCCAAAGCTCTTATCTCCACCTCCATCCCGTACCCCTGCCCCAATCCAAACTGCCAACTGCTAGATTTTTGAGAATTCTGACTAGTTTCCATGGTCTTTGACTCCAGCAGGGGGTGGGGGGAAGAAAAGTGACACACATGCGTGATCACATCACTCCAGCCAGGAATTCCTCCGGGGCTCCCTGCCAGCCCTGGGGTGGAAGCTCCCCTCCAGGTCTTGTTTATCCTTGGTGCTGAAGCCATTTCTAATGTTCGCCCTGACCCCTGTCCTCTCCCTCCACAGAAGTCATTTCCCTGGGGAAACCTCTCTGTCCACGCACAGCCCACACCAGTCCGCACTCCTCCAGCCGCCGATGCTGGGCCGAGTGGTCATGCACCTGAACCATGGCCATCCGTTCATCTGTCCCTGGGCAGGGGAGTGGTCTGCTCATCATCCTAGCCTTAACGGAGACTTCAGCCAGTGTGCAGCACCTGTTTAGTGGTGTTTGTTGAAGGAACGAGTGAATCCTGCAGTTCTGTGTTGCAGTTGTCACAGGTTTCCCAGGACTCCACCCCACTGGGCCTGCGTCTTGCTGTTCCTTGAGTTCTCTGCATGGATTGAGTGTGTACGGATCCTGTGGGGCATGCCAGCTACACAGGTCTGGCGGGCAGTCTGGGGATTAGCAGGTCCCATCTTGACCTCATCCTTCAGTTGGAGGGCACCAGTGGCATGAAATTTTCTCTAAAATGCCGTGGTTGGGTGGGGGAAGTTCAGATCTCTTTCCTGCTGCCTTGGGGCTTTGTGCAGAGCCTCAGTGTAATACTGCTCACTGAGTTGTATATATTTTATTGTGAATTTGTGCCTCATTTTACTGCCCTTTGCTTTGCACTGACCTTCACAGACATGCGCAGACACAGAGGGGGTGCAGAGAGGGTTGCAGTGGCCTTTCTGGAGAGAGATGGCAGCTGATGCTGAGGGCCGGCCGGGGCAGCAGAGTGGGGCTCTAACTTGTCTCTGCAGTCACCCCAGGTTTAGCCTGCAGGGCAGGGAGGCTGCAGAACGTTCTGTTTCAGGAGGGATGCAGGTATACTGACCTTCAGGTTCCTGGCACTCCGTGATAGATCCCACAGGTTGGAAAATGTGGCGACTTAACCTCACAAGGAAGAGAGGATCCCTTGTGCTCTAGAAGCCTGTTAAAATTTCTGTCAAATGCTCTAATAGAGGCAGGTTCAGAGGTCCAGGAGCACAGAGAGGAGGGATATTTTACCTCTCACTCTAAGGGTTGGAGTTGGGGAGGCTTCATGGAGGGCATGGCAGAAGGCCACGAAAGATGAGAAGAGACAATGGCCCCAGCAAAGGTGGAGGAGCCAGGGAGTACTCCTATGTTGGGACCACAGTGTCCCAGAGAGTGGCAGGAAGTGACTCCAGGTTGCAGCAGCTAAGTTGGGGCCTTCAGTGCTGGCCTAAGGAGGCTGAATTTTCTCTTGTGAGTGAAAGAGGAACAGGGAGTAATGGCTGCATTGAAGAGAGGAGACCTGTAGAGAACATGATGAGTGGGAAGGTGGTCCAGGGCAGGACCCAAGGGCAGGAAAGAGCTGGGGGGAGCAGAGCCAACTCCCCCTCACTCCCGAGTGAATGACTTGGGAGGAGGAGGAGGATGTGCTGAGCAGATGTGGCAGTTTGGGCTGATACTGGTCCATGGCCTATTAGGAACTGAGCTCAGCCCCTCATCTTGTCAAAGGACAAATGAAACCTCTATGACTTCATCTTACTCAGAGACTCTGAATTTTTCAGGAGTAGGCACAGTTTTTTTCCCCATCTGTCCCTATGTCTTTTGTACAGATGTGAAAACATGAATCCAATCTGTGCTTGAGAAAGGATTGTTTAAGGAGCAGACAGATCCTGTAACTTGCAAAATTGATGAGTTTGGGCTAACATCACTGGGTTGCTGTTCTGAGAGATCTAGAAATGCTATAATAGGACAGCTTAGAAAAGTGGTAGAAACATAGGCTCTGGAGTCAGCCTTCCCAGAGTTCAACTCCCAGCTCTGCCACTTAGCAACTGTGAGACCTCTGGCAGTTACTCTGCCTCTGTGTGCTTCAGCTCTTTTGTGGATACAGAGCAGCACAATAGTATCTGTCTCTTACAGTTGGTTCAGTGATTAGAGCTGGGCCTAACCAGCACTGTGTAAAGAAGTTGGTTTTTACTTTTGTTTGCATTGCTGTAGAATTCAAATCATCAGTATTGATAAAAGCAAGGTAACAAAGGGGAGTTAAAAAGAAAATAATTTAATCATAAATCCAGGCAAAGAGCTTGTATATAAAATTAAACACGAGAAAACCCTGGCTAGTAAAAACAGAGTTTCTGGCAGAAGCATTATTTTCCGTTGTAAATACTGTGGTTATTAAGTCCTTGTGTGATTTGTTGGCATCTTTTCAGTTTTGGAGGATATTTTTAATAGTTTTGTTTCCTTCTGACTATGCTGACATGACCTCATAGTGCTGTGTAGGGGAAATGATGGGAGTAGAGAGGCCTTACTGCAGAATATTAAATGTACCCTCTCAGGGGGTTTTAACAATGCTCTCACCTGAGCACTCAGAATGCTGTTTCTAGTGAGTTTTTGCCACACTTACAAGTTGTGATGTTTCCCAAGAAAAATATTACATTTTAGAAAGTCATAAGGAAAGAGCCATGATTATTTGGATATTTTACATTATATTACATATTCTTTTTATAATTTTGTTTACTAACTCTATCTTTTATGATAAGGAAGTTATAGCACACAGTGAGAATGACTGGCATATTTTGCTGTATTTGGTAAGCAATTTTGTACTACTTAGAGGAGGGGTCTGCAACCCTACTGCTCTGCAGCCTGTTAGGAACTGGGATGCACAGCACGAGGTGAGTGTCAGGCGAGCGAGCATTGCCACCTGAGCTCCGCTTCCTGTCAATCAGTAGTGGCATTAGATTCTCATAGGAGCACGAACCCAACTGTGAACTGCACATTTGAGGAATCTAGGTTGCATGTTCCTTATGAGAATCTAACTAATGCTTGATGATCTGAGGTGGAACTGTTTTATCCTGATCTATATTCCTTGCCCATGGAAAAATTGTCTTCCATGTCTTCCGTGCCAAAAAGGTTGGGGACTGCTGGCTTAGTGCAATTGTGACTTAAACAAAGAACATTATTCCCATGATTTTATTTAAAATGTCTGGTCCTCATATCACTGTGAATAAGGTCTCTTCAGACTATGAAAGAGTTAAGGTTAATGTGAGATTTAAAGTGTACTTCCTAATCAAATTTGGCTATGTATACCTGCTTTCTATGCAAAAACTCAAATTAACCAGATATATGATTCCGAATATCTGGGCAATTGCCCCTAGGTATGCAAAAGTGGATTTTCGTAATTGCCTTACTTTTGGTTGGAACTGTGGAACCAAGATGGAACATCTTTGCCTTGTCTACAGTCCCACTAACTGGCAATTTTATTTATTTTATTTTATTTTTGTGAGTCCTACTCTGTCATCCAGACTGGAGTGCTGTGGCATGATCTCGGCTCACTGCAACCTCTGCCTCCCAAGTTCTAGCAATTTTCATGCCTCAGCTTCCAAGTAGCTGGGCTTATAAGTAAGCACCACCATGCCTGGCTCATCATTGTATTTTTAGAAGTGACAGAGTTTTGCCATGTTGCCCAGGCTGGTCTAGAACTCCTGGACTCAAGTGATCTGCCCACTCCAACCTCTCAACGTGCTAAAATTACAGGTGTGAGCCTTGATACCTGGTCCCACTGGCAATTTTAAAGGGCAGCAAGTCCTCTCAGGCAAGCACTATGCTTAAGCTTTGCTCCAAACGCTATTGTTAATCTATTTTTCACCAGTCTGTTCTGCTCCATTGGCTTTGAAGCACTCCTTTTCTTTTATTTTTTTTCCCCTTTTTATTGCATTTTAAGTTTTGGGGTACATGTGCAGGACATGCAAGATAGTTGCATAGGCACACACATGGCAGTGTGATTTGCTGTCTTCCTCCCCTTCACCCACATCTGGCATTTCTCCCCATGCTATCCCTCCCCAGCTCTCCCCCCACCCGCTGTCCCGCCCCTATTTCCCCCAATAGACCCCAGTGTGTAGTGCTCCCCTCCCTGTGTCCATGTGTTCTCACTGTTCATCACCCGCCTATGAGTGAGAACATGTGCTTATTTCATTTTCTGTTCTTGTGTTTCGGTTTGCCTCTGATGGCCTGCCTGCCACAAGCAGTCCTCTAGAATATGGACCTGTGCTTGGCTTTTCTACACAAGCACGGACAACCCTCAATTACTGGGCGACATTCATCACCTCCTGCCAACTAGACAGTGAGGTGTGTCCCGGGAGAGTGGGACCTTGAACTCGTCTCGGCCTTGCTTGGGACGTGGTCCAGGAGGTTATGGGAAGACACTGGTTTAGAAGCTGACCTCATGGGTTCGCTATTCTTATGTAACACTTAGGAAGAGCAGAGACCCACGCGGTTCAGTCCCAGAGCAATGCTGTGGTCAAGAGAACACAGTCCAGCTACCAATAGTTATTTCAAAACAGTTCAAGTTCTTTGTTTATATTTCTCAAAAAAAGAAAAAAGAAAAAAGAAAGGAAGGTGTGGCCGAGCTGGAAACCCCCCTTTCAGGGGGCCCTCAGGTGGGAGCTTGCTTGGACACCTCTCTACCCGCCCAACCCTCCAAACACCCCTTTCCTCCCTGAGTGTTGATTTGTTGATCCAGATTCTGAATAAATGAAGTTGCACAGAATCTACTGGACAGAAAGGAAACTGCCTGGAGGCCCAGGGCTGAGGGGAGGCCCGGAGCAGGGTGGGTGCGCGACTCCGCAGTGAGCAGGGAGGGCAGGCTGGGGGCGTTCACCACCCTGAGGTCTCTTCTTCCCACAGCCCTGAGACCCAGGCTCCCCTGTTCCTCCCTCCAGACCCTGTCCGTCCTCCCCGCGGGGCTCCCTCGCAGCTCTGGGGAAGGGGCGGGCTGCGTCCTCGGCACCTTTCTCAGCAGCCACTGCAGCGCATCCCAGCACGTCCTCCAGGAGCCCGCCTTCTCCTGTCACCCGGGCTTTCCCCACAGCGCAGCGTCCCCTGGTCCCCTCGGGGCTGGAACTGGGGTCCCCGCAGACAGTGCAAAAGGAGGTCCCTGTTGCCTCCCATGCAAGCTGTAGGACGCTTAGAGCTGCGGGAGGAGGAAAGAAGAGAAGAAGAAATACAGTTAAGTGTGATGTGGGTACAAAGGAACCAACACCGAGCTTCCGAGGGCCTAGAAAGGAGCCCCGGGAGACGCGCCCCGGGCCTGGGTCATCGCCTCAGCGCAGCGCCTGCCTTCAGCGGGCTCCAGTCTCTCCCGAGGCCCCCACCCCCTTCTCCCCCTTCCCACCTTCTCCCCCGTTCCCACCTGCGGCCCACCCGAGGCCCCCTCCCCCCTTCTTCCCCCTCCCACCTGCGGCCTTCCCGAGGCCTCCTCCCCACTTCTCCCTTTTCCCATCTTCTCCTCACCACCTGCGGCCCTCCCGAGGCCCCCTCCCCGCCTCCGTACCTCCCATCCCCACTCGTAGCCCTCCCGAGGTCCCCCTAGTACCCCCAACCCCGAGTCCCTCCAGAGACCTCCTGGGCTCGCGCTCCTCCCAGTTGCCTGAGGCTGAGTCCTGGAGAGGTCTCGGGACTGCCTTTCTAGGGGATCGTCCCAACCAAGGGGAGGAAGGCCTTTGGAGAGCATCTAAGGAGGACATCCTCACTGTGTCTTCTCACTCTCTCCACCCAGCGCCTGTGACCCAGCCCCAGCCCGCGGCCCACAGACCCCGGCTCTAAGCATCCCTGGTGAGCGCCTTCTGCACCAGAGCTCCGCACAGCACCAGCCCTTGTGCTCCCCCAGCTTCTGTTCATTTGCTGCAGTCCTGAAGGGTCAGTTCTTGAGCATCCATGCTGCCAGGTGACAAACCCAGGCACGCAGAGAGGTACATCCTTTACCCAGGGTGACACGATGTGGAGCTGAATCCATGTCTGGGAGTCTGGTGACCGCCTCTGGGCTCTGACAGCGCAGCCACCTCACAGTGAAACAAACTGGGGACTGGCCTTGTCCTGACTGGCCTTAGGACAGTGCAGCAGCCCGCAGTCTCCTGGCCAGTCCCTACGATTGACAAGTGCCAACAATGTCCCACAGCCATGCCAGTAGAGGCTGTTTGACTGTGGTCATTTCACATGCATCTGCTTAGTCTTCTTTTGCCAGATTTTATGCTTTTGTGCCAGTTCCAATTTAAGTAAAAATCTGGACATGCCTGGCAAACATGATGCACCTCTAGCCTTGCAGGCTCCTGTTTTTCTTTCTTTCTCTTTCTTGGGATTAGAAAGAGTACATGTAAACTGCTTAGTCCAGGAGCTGGCAGAGAAAGTAGACACTCAATTAAATAACAGCAATCTAAGTGCACAAAGCTGGTCGTGTGTCTGGCATTACCCCTCACACCTGTCTCCCATTCTAAGCATCCTGTTGAGCACTTGGTAATTCCTCACTTGAAAGAGATTATAAAGAGTTTTTTGTTCATATTTTAAAAGATTTTTTTTTATTGTGGTAAGAGGTATATAATGTAAAGTTTGTACTTTCACATTATTGTACAACCTCACCAGCACCTATCTCCAGAACTTTTTCATCATCTCAGACAGAAACTCTGTCCTCATTAAACACTGACTCCCCATTAAACACTGACTCCCCATTAAACACTGATTCCTGTCCCCAGCCCTTAGTAACCACCATTCTACTTTCTGTCTCTCTGAGTTTGAGTACTCTAGGTATAAGTTATAAAGAGTTTTTATCAACACAAACCATAATAAACATTAAACCTCTAGAATTTAATTAAAGGGTTGGTTTCTCCCATCTCTTCAAACAGCTATCACCCTTCACAAAAGTTTCCAAATCAAATAGAGAAGGAAAGTAGGGTCTCCTTGTCTGGGGCCTGCAAGACTTTCCCAGCTGTGAGATCGCTTGCCAGCCCACCTTGGGTCTCTTAGCTTCGGATCTTCCACTGCTCCACTGTCTCCTCCCAGCTCTTGCTGCTTGTCCAGATACTGCAGGCTCAGCAATATCCCAGCCTTAGTCCCACTGGGAAAAGGTGCTATTTTTTTCCCCAGCATTGCTACCATTTGCTTTTTCTGTTATTCCTCCCACAGTCATAAGTATTCACTCTCTGGGTAATAGAAAACCTTGTTTCACATTGTCCTCCGTTAAACCCTGTTCAACCAGTGCTTCCCTGGAAGGGACCAATTAATTCATCCAGGGACCGACTCTCAGAAATAGACTTGCTAGAAATAATCATTTATGATTCAATTTTCAATGCAAATCAGGAACTGTGGTTCAAGAATGTGTTCGAAGTGAGGTGTTGAATTGTTAGTCAGGTCAGAACCGTCATCAGATGCCTGCTGTGATATTATTCCTAGTGTTTCCCTGATGACGGAAGCTTCCCATTTAGTCACAACAGTCAGACTTCTACCTCACCCAATACTTTTTAGGAAAGGCAGAAATAAAGAAGGAGGAAGAAGAGGAAGAAACAAAGAAGGAAAAGAAGGAAGGAAGAGAAAAAGGTGCACTATGGCAAAATCCAGTGTATTTCCATTTTTGGCAATATGACTGACTAGATAGCCAGAAAAACCAAACCAGTGCAGAACATCTAACAGTGCTGGATAGAATATTTAAAATAAATCTTCAAAAATGTGTGGCTAATCATATGTGAAAATAAAGAATGTCCCAAAAGTCTGGAAGTGATGAAGAGGTTCAAAGCTGGAAACAGTAAGTGAAACTGGAAAGATAATCAAGTGTCATTAAGTTTTTGTCCTGGGAATAGGGTGGAGGACAGGCAGTTAATATCTTCTCTTGAGGGAGGGATCTGGAACTGGGCTTTTTATAGGCTCTGAAATCTAGAGCTGGGATGTGCAAACTATAGCCCGTAAGCCAAATGCAGCCCAATTTTGTAGAGTTCCACGGAAACACAGCCATGCCTTTCCTTATCATATTATCTGTAGTTGCTTTTGTAAACAAGGGCAGAGTTGAATAGTTGCAGCCATATGGACCACAGAGACAAAAAAAATGTACTGTCTGGCCCTCTATAGAAAAAGTTGACTGACCGTGATTCTTGAGTAACAGAGTTGGGAAAGACACTTGCCTATCTTGGTTTTTGGTTTTGAGTGGAAGGAGGGGATAAAGGGAAAAAAACAACCAATCCTTACATTCAAAAAGTTCAATAAAACTGAGAGACAGCATAACAAACCAATCAAACCAATGCCAAAAGTGAAAGAGGGTACAATCACAAATAGAATTGAGATTTGAAAGATAATAAAACAGAATATATTGAACAACTTCATGACAATCAATCTGGAATCTTTTCTTTCTGAAGTAGAAATATAAATTGCCAAAACTGATTCAAGAAGAAATAGTAAGCCTGAATCATCCTATGTTTATGAAAAACATGAATCCTTAGCTTAAAAAAACTGTCCTTAAGAAAATCACCAGGCTCAGTTTTATATGCCAGTTTGAATACTCAGAGTTGAAAATTCTAATCTTACATAAAATCTTTGAGAGTTTCTCAGTAAGACTGGAAAACCAATTCATATAACAAAATCAACTCAAAATGGATAAAAATCCTAAATGTGAGACTTGAAAGAGTAACACTTCTGTTTAACTTCAAATGGTCACAAATTTGAATAGTTAGTGGCTAGCATACTGGACAATCCCACTCTGAAATCTACAGGAAATGGGAAAAGCTTCTTGCCTTTGGCATTTTGTTCCCATTGCTTTTTGATATGGCCCCCAAAACACAGGCAACAAAAGCAAAAATAAACAATTGGGATTATCAAGCTAAAAAGCTTCTGCACAGCAGAGGCAAAATCAACAGAGTAAGGAAACGACCTGCAGAATGGGAGAAAATATCTGTGAACCATACATCTGATAAGGAGTTAATATAAAAATATAAAAGGAACTGAAAGAATTCAATAGCAAGAAAACAAGTGTTCTAATTAAAAAAATTGAGTGAAGGACCTGAAAAGACATTTCTGAAAAGATAGCATACAAATGGCCAATGGGTCTAATAAAAAAAATGCTCAGAATCATTGATCATCAGGGAATGCAAGTTAAAGCCAGGGTGAGATATTTACCTCACGTCTGCTTGGATGGTTTATAAAAAATATGAGATAAAAAGTGTTGTTGAGGATGTGTGGAGAAGAAAACCCTTGTAAACTGTTGGTGGGAATATAAATTAATACAGTCATTTTGGAAAGCAGTATGGAGGTTCCTCAAAATGTTAAAAACAGAACTACCATATGGTCGAGCCATTATACTTCTGGATATATATCCAAAGGAAATGAAATACATATGTTGAAGAGGGATCTGAACTCCCATGTTCACTGCAGCATTATTATCCATAGCTAAGATGTGGAAATAGCTTAAATGTCCATCAACAAATACATGAATAAAAAATGTGATATATATGCACAGCAGAATATTCAACCTTAAAAAAGATAGAAATCCTATTACTTGCAGCAAGGCTAAAATTGGATAACATTATACTAGGTGAAATAAACCAGGCATAGAAAGACAAATATTACAAGGTCTCACATGTGGAATCTAAGAGTTGAACTCACAGAAGCAGAGAGCCAAATGGTGGTTACCAGGGGCTGGAGAGTGGGAAACAGGGAAGATGTTGGTTAAGGAATATAGAATTTCAATTAGACAGGAGGAATAAGTGAGAATTCTATTGTGCAACATGGTGATTATAGCAAACAACAATGTATTATATGCTTGAAAATTGCTTAGAGAGTCGATTTCAAATTTCCTCGCCATCAAAAAAGATGTGAGATTAATTAGCTTGATTTAGTCATTTCATAATACATACATTTATTAAAACATCATGGGTTTTACACCTTAAATAAATATACAATTTTGTCAATTAAAAAAATAAAAAGGAGGAATAAGATTAAAGTGAAATAATTAGGAATATAATTATTCATAGATATATCATTGTCTATATGCTAAATGCCACAAAATGTTCAATGAAATCATTAAATTAATAAGCTATAGCAAACATGCTGGATATAATATTCATATACAAAAGTGATTCATCTTTTTATACATGAAAATAGCATTATAAATTATTATTACTAATTTTTTAGAAAATTTATTTATTATACTTTAAGTTCTCGGGTACATGTGCAGATCGTGCAGGTTTGTTACATAGGTATATACGTGCCATGGTGGTGGTTTGCCGCATCCATAGCCCTGTCATCTACATTAGGTGTTTCTCCTAATGCTATCTCTCCCCAATCCCCCCACCCCCTGCTATTCCTCCTCTTAGCTCCCCAACCCCCAGGCCCCGGTGTGTGAATTTCCCCTCCCTGCATCCATGTGTTCTCATTGTTCAACCCTCACTTATGAGTGAGAACATGCAGCGTTTGGTTTTCTGTTCTTGTGTCAGTTTGCTGAGAATTCTGGTTTCCAGTTTCATCCGTGTCTCTGCAAATGACATGGACTCATCTTTTTATGGCTGCATAGTATTCCATGGTGTATATGTGCCACATTTTCTTTGTCCAGTCTATCATTAATGGGCATTTGGGTTGGTTCCAAGTCTTTGCTACTGTGAACAGTGCCACAATGAACATATGTGTGCATATGTCTTTATAATAGAATGATTTATAATCCTTTGGGTATATACCCAGTAATGGGATTGCTGGTCAAATGGTATTTCTAGATCCTTG